CGCAAGTGATTTCTCACCAAAATTTTGGCACATCTTTTGTGCAAAGTTGAAGCTCATTGTTACTTCTTTTCAATATCAGTTGTTGCCAGATTTTATAATCTGTATCTAAACTTTCAAATTTTGGATGCAAATTTTGAATTTAAAAGGATTTCTGACATGCTTATTGCTGAAAATCCCATTCTTGTTTATGTAAATGTTATGTAATTGACATTTGCTAACTAAACAAGCTCATCCTTGTCTAATGTCTATATATTGGTTTCTATTTATACCACCTGTGCTACTACTAATTTCTGTCTGTTGAGACTATTTACCTAATGCATTTGCTTCATATGATTTTATACGCAGACGCACCTGTGCATGGAACAGTAATGCCAGACCCAAATTCAAAATATTAATGAAAAATTGTGTTATTTGCTTGTTTCACCTGAATTCTGAGTCAGGCCTGCAGGCTGCAATCAATACATAAATATGAAATAGGTACATGTTTTGAGGCTTCATATCAGCACATAGAAAAGGCAATCGAAGAAAAGGCACCTTTGGGCATTGATTATTTTTGCTTGCCATCGCCTAGTCAATTTTTTCATGTTGCATTATGTTAATAAACTTGGTAATGTGTTTTGCAGGTCCGGGGCTGGTCCTCTGGCGTGCAGGACGGCGAGGAGTGGCTACCTGCACATAACAACACAATGACTGGCACCGAGCTGAGGGTATAAAATCCAGGGGGGCGACACGGCTATTCGCGCAATGTATTCATTTATGGGCCGCGCGGGGCCTCGCGATGACGCGGCTGGAGGCAACTGCTTAGCGCGCTAGGATACTTCTGGCGGGGCCGGGCGCTGAACGGTGTGCAATGAATGGGTGTCGGGCAGACAGAGATGAGGCATTGAATTTGAATTGACATCAGCAATCGGGTGGGGAAGGAGAACGTTTCTAATCGAGCTTGGGATGGGGAAAGCCGAAAATATCACGATCGGCTCATAGCTCCGACAGGGCCGGGTGCTGTACCATGTGTAGTATATTTAGGCGGGCAGACAGAGATAAGTTATTGGATTTAAATTCACCTTACCATCGGTTTCTGGTGAGGTTTGAAGACGTCTTTAGTCAACTGTCAAGCTCGGAGTGGGGCAACGGCCACTGGCGGATCCAGGGGAAGGCATTTGGGGCAAATGTCTTCCCCAACAACCAGGGCAGCGCCCGAAATCGATTTTCGAGAATAAATGAAAACTTTACAACTTTTCAGAGGAAATGTTGGTTAATCACACCGCACAGCAGTGCGCAAGGAATCGAAATCCGAGTTTTTTAAATTAATTCCGAGAAACCTTTTTGGGGTAAGCCCCCGCAGTGTCCAATACCGCTTCCTGGATCCGCCAGTTGTGAATAAGTCACGGTCGATATCGAGCTTCGGCGGGACCAGGCGCTGTACACGTTGTTCTTTGAATGAAGAGGTGGACAGACATCTAGCCCCACATCCTACTGCTATGCCCGTGCTTCTGTGGGTGAAGCACTAAAGCATCACGGAATCCCAGAGGACCTGCGAGTCGACGAGGTGGCCGCTTTGGCCGCCAGGTACTGCAGCTCCCTGGAGTTGCCTGGGACCGATGGCAAAACAACAGCTCCGGCGGTGCCTCTATGGGGCGTAGTAATTAGTGAATTCCCGTAATGTAGAGATCATATCCTCAATGATCTCCGTTACCATTTTATATTCCTAAACAATATGACAGACCAATTATGCTTGCCTACGTTCAGGCATTACCTCTGATGGTCATACGCCCAGTACAACATGTGTTGTCTGTCAAACAACAATCGACGACGGGATCCCTTCTCATCATCTCTTAAGCCAAGGCTCTTAAGCCATCGGTTGTCAATTCACCCACCCCGTTTCCCTAAAAATAGACGGTCAGATTCGGCCTGGGTCCTTACGACTCCTCTAAATTCGCCAGAGACGGGATCGGATCGCCGTTATTGCACCCGTCTTAGTGTCTTATATACTATGACAGCTTCGACCACGGACGTCGGACGGGGTGATCGTTCCACGAATGTACACACCATCCATGCCTAGGATGCATCGAGGTTTAAAAGGATGCAGTCTGTAGATCAATCAACAAACAATGGTGGTATGCAACCACTTTAAAATATCTCCCTGGCTCCCGCAACGTTCCAACGCCCCTCCGTTATGCATTCGCCCTGTGTGTCCGCCGAGCCGCCTTGCCTCCAATGACGTCATCGGCCGGCCGGCGGCGTTCAAGGTCAAACGGCTGGTGTCCTTACCTGGAGTTCTATAGCCTTGATAAAATCACATCATATCGACTTCAGCATCTGTCTCCCAGCTTTGGAGACGTCGCCCGACTCCCGAGTCCCTGAGTGGCGAGCGCAAGTTTCCGAAAGGAAGTTGAGGAAGGCAACCCGAAAGCACCCGCTAGGCTGCCGACACTCCTGCGCTGCCAGCAGGGCGTGCTGCGCAGTAAAGCCTCGCTGCGTGGTCTGTACGACATCCGACACCGGCACCCAGACGTGCAGTTTCTGATGACATCCCACCTCAACCAGGGCTGCCCCGAGAATCTGCTAGTGCTGACTGCCTGCTGCTGAGGCCGACCTGCCGGACCTGTCGCCGCCCTGGTGAGCCTGAGCCGCCCTGGGACCTGCCGTCGCGTCTACGCTGCCGCCCTGGTGAAACTGCCGTCGCCCTGCCGGACCTGTCGCCGCCCTGGTGAGCCTGCGACCGCCCTGGGCCCCTGGACCTGCTGCCACCCCGGCGGACCTGCCGCCGCGTCTACGCTTCCGCCATGGTGAAACTGCCGTCGCCCTGCCGGACCTGTCGCCGCCCTGGTGAGCCTGCGACCGCACTGGGCCCCTGGACCTGCTGCCACCCCGGCGCAAGGCCCTAAATACAAGGTTGCACGGACTTATTTCTACTAAACCTACCAGAATATAGTTTCACGGTTGATTATTTAAAATAATTATTCAATCAAAATTTCTTTATTATTATCTCGCAATCATTTATAAGCAATTTTATAAATCAACTTTCAATTTGCTTGCCTTTTACTAGCAAAATAACTTTTCTAGTATTGGGTCAACATAGTGGTGTAGCAGTAGGAACCACATCTGGCAAAACCCCAATGCCTACATACAGCAGAAAAGCAGCCACCAGGTGTCGCCACAGTCGCCACTTGGTCGCCACACAGATGTCGCGCGCGTCGCCAATCGCCACACTACCGATTTCCATAAGGACGCATATGTACGGATATGTATAGGAAAGTCGCCCTTAAGGATTACGCTTACATCCTTTGCTTATGAGGTCGGTGGTTGGAAATTGGGAGGGGCTCAGCTATTTTCGACCACGGATATGCCTTTATCACATGATGAGGAACATGCTGATAAGCGTTTTATGCGTCATAACAGCACAAAAGTATTTTTAATCATTTTTCAAAAATAGCCGTTCTGCCGTAACTTTCAGTGCAAGGTGCCGTCGGTCATCCCCGACGTGACGTCACGCAGGGAATTTGCCAGATTTTCCTACTAGACTTCGACACCCCCTGCCCCGGCGGACCTGCCGCCGCGTTTACGCTTCCGCCCTGGTGAAACTGCCGTCGCCCTGCCGGACCTGTCGCCGCCCTGGTAAACCTGCTGCCGACCTGTCGCACTTGCCACCGCCCTGGTGAATCTGCTGCCGACCTGCCTGACCTGTCGCTGCCGTGATGAACCTGTTACCGACTTGCCGGACCTTTCTCGCCGCCTTGACGAGCTTGGGGAGCCTGTGCTGAGGTGCCACCGCTCTGTTTCACGTGTTATGTTGCCCGGTTCCTGGCTGTCGCACTCGCGGAGTCAATCGGCACATTGTGTTTGGAGAGGCGACATCTTGTACAACTTTCCGACAGTTCGGAGCATTTTATTGTACCTACTCAAGTCACAAGAGATTAGGCTTGTGCCTTATTTGTCCTCTACCAATCTGTCCAATATGGTTTTTTATAACTACGATTTATGGTATGACATAAACCGGTATATTGTGTACGCATTTGGTTCGTTCCAGTCAGAAGTTTGGAATGTGTACATATACTTGTGTTACCTACGGTACAATTTCGGTTTGTGCAGTTCACACAACCTCTCTTAATTATGGGGCGAAATAGACGCAAAACCAGGGCTGCGGAGTCGGAGTCAGGGTCGACAGTTCTGACCGGACTCGGAGTCGATTTTGGAAACCGAGTCGGAGTCTGGGTCACCGAAAATCCATCGGCTCCGCCAGGGCTGCGGAGTCGATGGATTTTCGGCGACTCCGACTCCGACTCCGACTCCGACTCCGGCTTTAAAAAACCAGCTCCGACTCCGACTCCGGGCAGAATTGTCGACTCCGACCGACTCCAACTCCCGACTCCGACTCCGCAGACCTAGCAGGGCTACGGAGTCGACATATTTTCGGTGACTCCGACTCCGGCTCGGGTTTCTAAAATCGACTCCGACTCCGACTCCGCAGCCCTGGCCGCTCCGCAGATCTGGCAGGGCTGCGGAGTCGGAGTTAGAGTCGGTAGGAGTTGATTACCCAGCCCGGAGTCGGAGTCGGAGTTGGTTTTTGGAAGTCGCGGTTGGAGTCAGAGTCACCAGAAATCCATTGACTCCGAAGCCTGGCGCAAAACTATGGCGATTTTCATCTACGAGAGAGCCGCCGATGTGCTGGCCGGATATCCGGCGGGGCGCACGTTGGCTCGGTCCGATCCCAATAATGTCGCCAAATCGTTGGTTCGAGTAACAGCTGGTCCTGATTTGCTTCACTGAGGAAACATCACACCGTTCTGCCTTGCATCGGACATCAAAACTGCACTAAAATCCGCTGAAAACGTATTTAAACGTCCGTCCTCCATAATGGCTACGGACGGCGGCCGGCGAGTTACCATCCCAGTGACGTCACTCGGGCCCGGTAGGGGGACGGTAAAAAAAAAGCCTGATGACCATGCCTGGTTATATGGCCTTGGGCGGGGCCGTCATTTCCGGCCGCCATTGTTGGACGCCGGTGAAAACAGGGCGCCTGGGGCGTTTTGATCAAGGCTCTTGAAATTCGCTTTCGTGGAGCACGTGACCGAGATTTCGACTTGGCCCATGGGTGGTTTTTTAGCTATTACCTGCTACGGTGAACCAGAATTTAATTTATACATTCATTGCGCGGCTGTTACAAAGAGTGATACACACACATTGGGCACACTCTGAACTAAGGAACTAATAGTGTTAGAGAGAGAGGAAGAGTGTTGTTGTTGAGTTTTGCTGTTTTATGAATGTTTAATGTGTTTTTAACTACCTCAATCTCGCTTTTACAATATCTGAGACATGAACATGGTAAGCTTTTAAAATAAAATAACACCACATTCCTACATCAGCATGAGAAGAGGGACATTTTTGGTTTTAAGACAATTTGGACAATTTTGGACAATTTGGCGATAAAGTGATAATAGGGGCAGGTTTGGTGAGAATTGGGTGCATTCGCCGGACAGCCCGTCGTGAAAACGGCTAATATTTTTTCCCTTTGCAGTTGAAGATGCAGAATGGCTCTGCCCCGTGTGCCGCAGCAAGCCACAGCCTGCCGGAGAGAGCACATCAACCATGCTTTATTTCACGTGTTACCTAGTTATAACTTATATTATATCTGTGTCGAACAAATTAAGTATTAACTGATGGAAATCTGACCACTTGCGCAACCCATCTTCTCACAGCATGGACATCCGGAGAGAACTATGCGGCATGACAAACTCTACGAGCACTGGTGGTTCCTCCCTGCCGTCTCACGGCAGCGGCGCGACGGTGTCGAGAACAGTGGCTTGGTCAGCGTGGAATCCGGCGAAGCGCTGCGCGCTGAGGGTGGGTGATAGATGACCGGTCACTGAACAATGAAGCGAGTCAGATCATTGGGCGCAGTGATTACCAGCCACGCATCGCGGCTGGTCCGCGGAAGTTATTGCTTTGATGTCGGACTAAGTCACACAATGTTTTGTCACATTCTAGAGTGATGCTGAGTGCTGACAATGGAATGCATCGCTAATTTGCTTCCGATGCTGCCTTAACGGTGATATGAGATGCGTGATAAACCGTTTGTTTGTTTGTTTGTTTGTTTGTTTGTTTGTTTGTTTCGTTGGGTTAGGCCCTTTCGGTCCGATGAGACCATTGCAGAGCCGGGAGGATGATATGACTTGGGGGGAGGGGGCATGGGGCGAGCACCCTAGTGAGTCGCCGGGGCTGAGCCCATTTAAATGGGCAGGCCACCCAGCCCCCAGGCTACGGGCGTGCTCGGCTTATGGGCAATCCCGCATGGAATAAAGTTGCCCGTCCAGCCCGGACCAGGGGGTTGAGGCGTGGAGAAGAAGGGTTTGAATGTCCTAAGGATGGAATGGAAACGACGGTCATAGGTATGTCACTAGTTATGTGACAAGCAACAAGACCTTAGACAGCAAAACATGTGAAGTGTGAACACCACATCAATGGACTGGACGACACATATGGGCATGACAATAACTAACGTAGCTAATAACATTAGGCACGTACATAGCATAGCATAACTAATGCATTGAAATTGCGAAGGGGGGGGGGGGGCACTCCTGGTCACCTGATAATGGGTGGCGGCTTAGAAAAAAATTAAATGACTTGTCTATCAATCTTTGTGCCTTAACGTACCTGGTAGATATAGTCCATAGTTGCAATTACGCGTATGCCATAAATACTTTTCGATTGTGCACTCATTCCGCGCAGACCTCGCATTCATAGGTGGCGTCCTAGCCCAGCGGAAGTATTCTAGGGGGCGCTGTTTGCGGCAATCGATTGTGAACTTATAACTACGTTCCTTGCAATATGATACTGACAGATGTGAATAGGTACAAGTGTCCAAGACATTCGTCAAAAGAAAAAGAACAGCATATTAGGAGAAAATCACCTGATACTAAAAAAGGCAAAGTTGCAAGCCTTTCAAACACACTGCGATGCGTTACTTATAATTTAGTGTCACTTGACGTTACGGACAGGGGCCCTCAGGGCATACTACGGGCACCGTAGCGCCATCTCTTTGGGATCTCTAAAAGCATGGCCTGCGACCTGCACCACTAGGCAGTGACAACTATCTGGTCATATAGGTAGACGGCGTGCTTACAGATGATATAGCAATTCTGCCTCGATTTTTTTATGTGCTCGGTTTGAAGTTAACCGAACTTTTAAAAGTACATTTTAAATTTGAAAACTTGTAATAGCTACTAAAACATTTTAAAACTTCCTTCGAATCCTTCGTCACGAATGGTGCTAGGAAGGAAAACTTCACCTGAGATCACGTGACTGGATATGGCAGTGTGCCATATCTCATGCCCTCCGGCGCCCTGTTTTCACCGGCGTCCCCATTGTTCAGTTCTGCGGCTGCCGGCGGTTGGTGCGGTTGTGTTGTGGCACGGTGCGTTGTGAAGTTCTCGGACTGGGATATTTCGAAGGTACGTTATATTGTATGATATTTACGGAGCAATGGGCGACATTTTATTTATTTTGTAATATTCTGAACACATGTTGCGTCATAGAATTCACCCCTTGACCGTTGTGGGCCACTGTTTCGTTTGAATTCCGACTATTGGAAGACGGACTTTCTTTCAGTTGCTGTCTAGCCTTTTTTCCAAATGTGTAAGCTACAGATATTGCCTCACATTGATTTATCTTATGCAAAAGTCAGTTGATGTAGATAATAAAGCCATCCTCACTGATATTTTAAAACCAGCAGTTAATTTTCTTTTCTGTTTGCAGAGTTGCTCATAGTTGTGGGAGACTGAGGCATGAAGGTATACCGGAAGCCAGCGATATTTCTGTTGGTAAGCCTCGCCCAGAAAAAAAATACTTGCTTGAATCTGCAAAGTATGGCAAATATTTGATGGACAATGTACCTGACATGACAGGATCAACTTGCTCACTCGCCTGGGTTAAGTGCCGTTGCGTCAGAGCCCGTGGAAGCAGGGTATATAGAACAACGGGTACACCAACGACGCGAAAAGCGCCCATTTTACCTGGATGAGTTACATGGTAGATGATATATTTTTTGAATATGGAAAAAATAGAGTATTCTATTCTGACGATTGAAACCAAATTCATAAAGCAGTTATTTTTAAATTATATGTACCAGAAATAATATACTGACCATAGTTTAAAACTTAGTCTAAAGTTAGTTGAAAAGCGTATAGTTGATACTAAGATGGAAGGATTCAATGGAAGGCGGAAATGGCGCAGCTGTTTCATTCTTGAAATGTGTTCGCAAGCAGGATTTACGTGATGCTAGCGACATCTCTTAATGAAATTGGGGACGCTGATTGGCTGACCGAGTCCGTGAGCAGTATCACTAATGTACGCCAGTACAGGGTTGTGGCAATGTGCGCATGCGCAGGAACTTGTGGTCTCATGGAGGGGCTTTTGGTACCTCGGGCAGCGCCCAATGCTTTTTGGACCTGTTATGGCCTCCGCATCGATAAAAAGGTTGTAGAGGAAGCTTGAGGCTACCTTTCTCCACAATAATATTGGCACTTTATCCTTTAGCTTACGTGTGAAGCTCGCTTGAAAAAGGTCGATTTAACATGGAAACCCTATGGGGTAGTAGTTTTTGAGCGCCCATTTGGCCTAATGCTACCAACTGTTACTGGCTACCCCTGCGTGGAAGTGCCCGATCGTGTCTCATGCAACCGTATTATTTTATGAATGTTATTGGTGGTGACTCGAATCAGCTTTTGCACCACTCCGCTATGATATTGTAATATGTATATATTTAGATATTTTGTATCGTATGCTAATAAGTAATAAACGTTATTTTTGTGTATGTTTTTTTCTACGTGGTTGGCACGCAGTCGTGGCTGTCGTTGGCCGGGTCGTCCACCAGTCGGAGGGGCGGCTGGGGAGAAGGAGGGTGGGGGCGGGGTGACGCAATTGAGCTAGTATTACTACTGGGCAGCAATAGCAGGCGCTAGCTGGTTGGGTTACCAGGCGAGTCCTGCTAAGGAGCCTAATCGGCGTGCGTATTTACAAATTGCAACCGAGCTCCGCCGTAGGGTATTTTATTTCCGCCGTAGTGTATTTCACTTGGAAGATTTTCTACCATAGGGGAGAGTGGGGCAAAGCGGCCACCCGGGGCAAAGCGGCCACCCATCGTTTTAGCCCTTCATAGCTGGCGTCAGTTCCAATTTATGGTTTCCAATTATACTTCTCCTCACGGTCGTTCGAATGAGCCAGACCGGGATTTCAGGCCCATCACCATTGTTCTGTGAAACACGGAAAAGCATTTCTTGCCAGGTTACCAACTATGTTTACAATTTTTAAATGTTATGTTATTCCATAACCGTTTGGAATTTTTATAAGCGTTCTTGTCCATGCATTGCATGGTTATCGTACATGTATTCTACCAATTTTAATGTTTTTTACCCCACTAATAGCTAAGCTGGAATATTTTTGTCTCGGACGGTATGCGCGGGGCAAAGTGGCCGGGGCAAAGTGGCCACCCCCCAATTGGCCATAAGCTGCTTCCATCTGGATAAAAAACATTATTTATATTCATATGTGTCGTCATGCATTCATCTTGGCCACTTTCCAGTTGCATGAGTTACCAAATAATGCAATTAAATGTTTTTTTTTCATGAAAATCCTTTCTTTGTTTACCTACAGATGGAAGATGATAAAGTAAACATCCATCCTCGCTTAACCTTGTCACCATCAAATACCCTAGTCGTACACGAGGCAACTATTTTGTTTCTCATGTCGGGACTTGAGAAGACGCCGGTGGCCGCTTTGCCCCAGGGTATGGGGCAAAGTGGCCAATATGCATAGGTTTAAAGTTTTGTCAATATCTTTCATATGTGAACGCCTTTGGAAATAAAACGCAGTTGAAATAAAAGGCAACTTAATAGGGATCACATTGGTATAGAAAGAATCTTTCCAAGTTTAAAAATCAAGCGTTGGCATCGTGAAAAGCGTTAGGGTGGCCGCTTTGCCCCACTCTCCCCTACATCTGCCTGAGCTTATGGTAATTACAATTTGTCGGCTACGTTAAAAAATGACGCACCTTTTTTCGCAGTATAGGATATCGCATGTGCATATTTCTGCCTTTTTGGGTGCGCTTTTCCCTCCATCGGTTTTTCGTGAGTAACTCGCGTAAAAACCGTCCGATCGCGACGAAACTTTCAATACCCCCGATTTTATCAATTTTACACCTACCCTGAAAGTTTCATGACCCTGACCCAAATGACCTTTGACCTGTGACCTATTTCTCGAGACCATGTTTGGCCCGAAAGACGAATCGCGATTCGGCGTATGTCGCCTCGCATTAGCCGCGCGGTTGCTGTCTTCACGTGGATTCAAGCGTTGAAACATGTGATATGATGCTGGTCCCATGCATAAGGGTGTCGCCGCCGTAGCGGCTCCAGTGTTTTATGGCACGCGCCATTTTGCATATTTTCACGCAGTCGGAATTTCGTCGGTGCTATTGTTGTCGTGTGAATGAACTCGTTGAAATTAGAAGGAAAAATGGCGGACAATATAGATTGATCGATTCGGAACAAGTTTTAATTCGACTTCCGTATTATTCGGATTTTGCATATTCGTAACTTTACCGGTCGATCGGGGCCGGATTCGATTCGTTCGCAACATTTTTTGGTCCTCCGGGTCGTGGATACAAGGGCGGCGCCACCGTGGGGGCAGTGGGGGCAGACTGCCCCCACTGGCAGGAGGCCGTGGGGGCAAGACTATGTTTTTGCCCCCACAAAATTTGGCTGATGTTGAAATGGGAACAGAAGACCGGTGCAATATTCATGATAGGCGGTTATAATAGTACGCCTGTTTTTGACGATTCCTGTATCAAGTGCATCAGCAGAACGTTCGTTCTCAGACCGTCTGTCGCATATCTCCTACTCCCACTCATTTTCCTACTCATTTTCATTCACCAGAAGGCTGCCCTCGAGCTTGACCTCGAGGAGGTTGAGAGGCAGCTTGTCAAAATCGGCCAGAGAAGAGTTCACCCTCTTTTGGGAATCCTGACTGAGACTGAGCTCAGGGAGGTATGACAAAATGTGATAGGTAGGTATGTATATCCGGGTTATCTGGAAATGTATATGGGTCGCCCTAATAGAGCTTATTCTGGTATCAATCGTGTGTGAGAGAATCGCATATATTCGCACTACGGTAAAAAAGAGAACTAGGTATTGATTACTGATTACTGTCGACTCCTAAGCGTTCATGTGGTATCGCAAATATTCGCCAGGGGAGGCGAAAAACGCCCCCCCCCCCCCGTTCCGGGCCCGGGAGGGTTAATGCTTAAGCTCAATACGTATGCATGAAACCTGAAATCATGATAATTTCTAATTGGCA